TGTCATGATTGAATCCTTGTTGGATAATACTATTTATTTCTTTTACGCGTGAGTTGTACGTGCATGGCTATCGTCTCGTCCGAGGCGGTTGTCTGGATGTTGTAGAGATTCAGACTCCTTTAGAAGTACAAACAGTAACTGTTATTTTTGACATACAATTTATTTTTACCGATCAAGAACACAAAATTGTCGGTCACATGTAATTCAGGCGGTCACAAGTACATAATTGTCTATGCACACAAGAGACGTGATGTCACTGGTCTTTCACTCTTTGCATAACGAACCTCACACCCACACACTCGCCGAGATTTGTCTTGCATCCACACTCCAATTCGTCATGTCGCACCACACACACGAATATCATTTCGAGGTAAATTATATGCACAACCTTGGATGACCTGGACACAATTTGCAACGATGACTGCAATGCGATGAATGTAATGACACGACAGACGAGCCGGACCTGACAAAGATTCCGAAGGCAATACGCGACACCAAACTGGCAGTCAACATACCAAAGACAACTCAAACCCCCAACACTGAAAGAAAGTAATGTCGTTGTGAAAGCGTCAGTTAAGATATGAAATATTCTGAAACAGAAGTTTGCAAATCAATCGAATCCATCAAAGACAACGGCATTCCAAGACACATGATGCCAGTTGTCGTCTAATATACGGAATATTTTTACAAGAGAACCTGAAAGGCGGTCGATCGCCACGTTGCAATAGTGTCGCAAACATCAACATAAACACCCCGCAACTAACTCCATCCACTTGTCTTGGAACTCCCTCTATAACAACATTTGCTGCCACCGACTTCCAGCGCCTGCACAAGCGCCTATGTGATGTTTCACATTCCAAATAGTGTACGATCAACTCGAAAACACTAAGGTAAAAACTAGAATCGGCTACAACGCAAGGAAAAGAATCGAAAATCTCAAGAACATTATCTCTCAAGCTCACGGAAAGGAGGATCCAGTGATCATTATCTTTGAGGACAGGAACAAAGATAATATCATATTCAAGCAGATCCACGTTTTTAGCCCATCTTTCCACCCCGCCTTGCCCTTGAAGTTGCAGTTTACTGAAGAAGAAAGAATTAAAGGTGAAGACTCGAAGGCCTGGTGGGATGTCACTTGTCCCATATGCGGTCGTTCTTAATAGCGCCATGTAGAAGTTGACCACCTCATCATTCACCCTGCCGTCGGTAAGTGAGAGGGTGAGAATATCCTTCGCTGCAATTCGCAACTGACCATCGTGGAGGGTCGAAAGTACAGTGTCAGGTGGCACCAAGCCTCGTTCAATGTCGTTCAAAACCCGCAAGCTTCTAATCGCAGTCACTGCTGTTCCAGGTGTCGTGGCCCGCACTGCACAACATCGAGCGAAGGACAGGGGGGGAAGTAAGAAACGGAACACTAAGGATTCTCCTTCATCGCACGACGAGAAGCTAAGTATTTCTCATACATGTCCTGACCCCTAGTCACAGAGCGTGGATATGTCCCTTTCTCTGGGGGCAGAAGGGAAAGACACTCCTCAATGGCAATGGCATGCTCCTTCTTCCCAATTTCGACATCAACCCCTGACGCCTTTAACATGTCCTTGTGTTTTGTCGTCAACCCCGGGACTGTATGCAGTATGTGTTCCGGATATTTAGAGGGTCTCCGTGTTCGAGACGACCCTACCCCTGTACAACAGAAGAAAGACAAACGGAAAGTGAATACACGTTTCCGAAGAAGAACCCGACGAAACGACAATTAAAGGACCACGAAATCTAAAAGACGCAGGACCCATGCAATTACAGAACCCCGTCATGCCATGAGAGTGCGAGAGAGAGAACTTTCGCACGAGCCACGTTGCAAAACAAAACGAGCAGTGCACTCGAGCTCGACACCCCCGCCCTTCAGAAGGGAAAAGCACATCAAGTCACAAAAGCGGAAGGCAAACATCTCTGAAGTCCGGATCCCGGCGGACTTTTCCAACCCACGGAGATGACCCAACCCTTGTGCAACCGAAGGAAGAGAAAACGGAAAATGAACTCATGTAATCCAAGACGAACCCAACGGAAACGACAACTCAAGAACCACGAAATATAGAAGACGCGGACCTATCTATTTACATAGCCCCGTTTAGCCATGAGAGGGATAGAGAATACTTCCGCGCAGGCCCCGCTGGAAAACATAAAGAGCAGTGCGTTCGATATCGACCACCCCGCCCTTCAGAAGGGAAAACCTCAACAAGCCACAAACCCGGAGGCCAAACATTCGTGAAGTCAGGATCCCGGCGGACTTTTCCCAATCGAGGCACCAGAAGAGTAACCGCGTTACGCAGCGGCCTTGGCAGTGCGGATGCCGGCGGACTAAAACCACCACTCATTCCGAAAGAGAAACACCATCCTTCCATTATGTGAGGGAACGCTTCAACAAAAACACACATGTTTTTGTCTCGTGTGCATTGACAGACACTGTGGTCACTGGCGCGCAGACAGAGTGAAGTTTGTCACTGCTTACCAACTGGTTTGTCTTTCCGCTCCTTAATCGGCAAAGTTGGCGCGGGCAAGGCCAGCACGTCGAGAGCTCGAGTGTCGGCGGCAGTTTTTTTCGGGGATGTGACATCTTGTCGTCCCCCGATCCCGCGTTCTCCTCCGCTGGCGATGGTTGGCGGCAGCATCGGAGAGCTCGTCGGCAAGAAATCGACGACAGATCCGCCGGAAGGTTAGACGTCTAGAGGGTTGTCGACACCACGCGTCGAGGACGGCTGCGCGGACATTTGGTGGTCGCCTAGGATATCGTCGATAACTTCTTCGATGTCAATACGCACACTCGGTTTAGTCAGGCTGACTGCTACACGAGCTTCGTTGAACCGGTGTTGGAGATCGACGACAGACGTCATTGCTTGGACGTCATAGTCATCACGTTCTGCCGAAAGGCTTGTGACCACCTGTGTCTCCATACCCAGTGTCGTGTCATCATCATCATCGTCTTCCTCGCGGTGTTCTCCGTACAGCTGCCCGAATCCGTCAGAAGACTCCCCAGATCTGTCATCGTCGTCGCCGAAAGTCCGTTCGTCGTCTCCTGTATCGAGTTCACCTTTTCCCCCCTCCTGCCCTCCTAGCAACCCAGCCAACTCCGTTTCTTCCCCTTCCTCTCCTTCATCCTCTTCTTCCTCCCCTTCATCCCTTCCTTCCTCCAATTCCTCCCCTTTGTCTCCTTCCTCCACTTCCTTCTCTTTGTCCATCACCTTGCCTTCTTCCCCTGCATGCAATGCAGCCACTTCGCCCGAACCCGTGTTGATTCCCGATGAATGCGCTTCCCGCCCGCCGCACGTAGCCCCTCCCGCCTGCACCAATATCCCTGGTTGGCCCCCCTTGCCTGAAGATGTTCGGATCCCGACGAACTTCGCCGACTCCCTGTTGTTGGGCCCTCCACACGCCTTGCCTGAAGAAGTTCGGATCCCGGCGAACTTCGTCGTCTCCCTGTCGCCGGACCCTCCATACTCCTTGCCTGGAGAAGTTCGGATCCCAGCGAACTTCGCCGTCTCCCTTTCACGGGGCCCTCCACACGCACCCTCTCGCTCCGACCGAAGCGGTTGGCGATCCCCCGCACGCGGCGAAGTCCCGTCCCTCATCGCACCGCTGTCTATTTTGGGATGAGGACTCGCCACCCCCCCTCCTGACTAGTTCTGCACGTCCGTCCTCTCTGTCCACTCTGCAAGCATTGAAGTTCGGATCCCGGCGGACTTGAACGTTTTGACCGAGCCGGCACGGAGAGCAACCAAGGCCGCCATCACCGAGCAGGCGGATGAACTGGGCACGTCCTCCGACTGTGACGAGCATTCCAGATCGGGACCGGTAGACTGCTGACGCCCGAGGACCTCCCCCGCCACCCCGCCGTTGCCTTCCGCTGTCGTGGTGTCGCCCTGAGACCCGCCTTGAGCCTCGTCGCCCTCGTTCTCCCCACCGTCCGGTCCCGGGACCCTGTTCTTACATGCGTCCCACTGGGAGGGGGGATTTTCCAGTCCACCCTTCCTTTTGAGGGGCTCGTGTCGAGGTCGTAGTAGTCCTCCGTCAGCCCCAACCAGCACTTGTCCTGAAGTTCGGCGAACAATCACCCGGCTGTGGAAATGACGGACACGTCTTCGGGCTCGAAAAAGCCAATCTTGGCCCTCACTTTCTGGAGGACCGCAATTCTAGCGACGTCGAGGAAGTCAGACTTCGACCCGCGAGGGAGTGGCATCCATCCTCCGTCCGGGACAGCGACCGCCACGATCCACTCACCCTTTTGGATCGCCAGCTAGATGACTCATGGATGCCAAATCATGTCATGGCCCCAGTCCGCCTCCCTGGAACGACTTTGAGGCT